TCTAAGGCAATGGGACCAAACTAAAATAACATTGAAAAAATAAAAATACAAGCAAAGATATTGTGTTCCATTCAAGTTTAGCGGGATCAAGAGTAACCCTTACTTTGTCGGTTGGTTTCGTTTAGAAATTTAAAGTACTGAACTGCATTGGACCTTGTTAACCCAATTCCTCGTCTCTCTTCCTCGTACGGTTACAAATATATACATTTGCCAGATAATGCTCTCTTTCCTTTCGTTATGCAATAAAAATGTTTTATCAGGAGTAAGAAATGGAGGATATGGACTTCAAGCTTGCAACGCAGAAATCGCAGCAGTAGATCAAGCTTCTGCTAAAACTTTTCGGCTTCTAAGGCAAGAATGAGCTGCCATCTGCATCCAAACTGTTTTACGTAGCTTCCTGGGACATTGAAAGTCCTTTTTTGGTCCTTTTTTTTAATTTCTTTCAAAGAAATTTTTTATACAGAAGTGTTCTTTAATTGTTTCTCAAATTAAAACAAATGATACATGATTAAGGTATACAAAGATTTTCTATTAAGGGAAGAATTCAGAAAATTTTAGGAAGAATCTACTTATAAAATTTCGATAAAAATAAATTATCAATAGAAAATAAAAAAAAATATTTAAAATACATGCAAGGTTAAAATTTTTAGAATTTTTAGAGGTCAGACTGTCCCTTGGGCCCATCCTGAATACATCAGTGCAACAAAGACGATGCTGAATGAATACCGCAGCAAAGACGATATCTTGAAACAAGCACAGGTACAACTCAATTTACCGTAATGACTAAAATTTGGGTTTCCAAAATTTGAGTTTCCAGGATGTCTGGCTGGTGTGATAGGAACCCTGGGAGATGTTAAAACGAAGCTGCAGACGAGGCAGGATTGCAGGAAGGAGCCCTCAAGAGAGAAAGTGGAATGGCTTATTCTCTCGCTCACAAGATATTGAAACGTTCTGAATTTCACCCTTTGTTTACGTCACGACCAAAGATTCAGAGGTCAAAGCCTGGGGCAACTAGTCAAACAAATAGCTCAGGATGGAGTTGGCTCAAACGTTGAACAGCAGCTCAGCCACAGGAGACGAGATTGATGGAACAATTACAGGCTGGATCTTATCTTCAGAAAAAACCCCACAATCAAAATATTGCTTAGGGTCCCATGCTCTATCATGAAATTCAGAAAGAACAATATGCAACTAGGATTTCCGCTAAACCTCCATGTTTCAGGCCACTCACTCATCCTCCTCAAGTCCAAGTTTCAACTTTCGGTTTGATCCAAGCTCAGCTTCATCTTCATCATGCACTTCAACTGGAAACACAATCTTGGATACAGATACAACAGAGGACAGTTGCAATAGTAGGGCAAACTCTATGAACTTAACAAATTCTACCAAGACAAGAAAAGAGCTGGCAATAATAACGTCATTAACAGAAACCAGAGGCAGTCGATGGAAGAGTTTACGTTCAAGAAGCAGTCCACCTGCAGGACTAGATAAAAGCTCAATGAAAAATCTCCACCGATCATGTGTATGAATATGGTGTCGGACATAGTAAAAACCTTACCAAGTCCTTTGCATCTGCAGAACATTTGTTCATTTAGTTCAGTGACAAGAGACTAAACTTCATGTTCTTTTCATGACTCCTATCTTTGCTCTGAACTTTGCCACTTGGCCAGATACAGCTTACAAAAGATCCAATCCTTACAGTAATGAGCTAATGATCATTTATTTCACCGTTCCATGCGGTATGTGAAATCATAAACAATCCTATAAGTTTCACAAACAAATATATAACAACATGAACAACAAAATCGTAGATTCCCTTGATGTGTTTTTTTTCTTGATCATGGATTTGACCTGAGATAACCCATTTGATCCATGAGTTCCTGCAAATCATCACCCCAGTCCGCTGGGTTTGCTGCCAAATCTTCGACTCGAACATCAACTTCAGCTTGATCACTCACCAACAATAATTCCTCCTCTGGTTCACCAGCTATCAGGTCTTCATTTATTAACTCTTCCCATATTGTGTCATTAACACCCAAGCTATCAGTCACACTTGACATGGGCATTTGACTTGTTATATGATCCTTGATTTCACTGCTCGATTCATTGTCCATGGCAGAAGCGAAAAATGTCTTGATTTCGGCCCCAATGGTAGCCACCTCTTCTTGCTCCTCAACTTGATCATTATCAACTACCACAGAGGCTGCTTCTTGTTGAAATTCTCTACACTGGGGCTCGCTTCTAGTCGCCGTTTTCGCCCAATTTCGACCCCCGGGACCTGTCTTTGCCAAGCAAATTGCTGAAAAAAAGTTGGGTTTCGGAGAGCTTTAGCAAGGAATGCCATTATCTGCTTCTGTTTCCTCTCTGTGCTCTGTAACCTTTCCTCCATTGCAACAACTTGGTCCCTTGAATGCTGCTGTTGTTGCCTTAATTGGACAATTCGGCTAGTAAAACACTTCGATCCCTCTTCAATCGCTCCAGCTCTTCATCTAATCCAAATTGTCCTAACTCAACACAAGCTCCTCATCCTTGATGTTGTGAACTTTGCACCAAATCTCTTCTACTTTTGATCGTTTTCAGTAGGTGTTGTTTCCCTCCCAGGAACCCTTCATTGGTAAATTCCCATCTATCTGGATCAATTTTTCTAAAACCCTGCATCCACAATTACAGTGATTACTCCACCTTGAAATAGCATCAAAACCGAAGATTGATCACCAATTTGTTAAGAGAAACCCCCCAACAATTTGTAAGTGAAAATACTTACATATGTATTGAGCTGGCGAATGAATCTGGAGAAATTTTTGTGCTTGAAATACCTAGGAAGTAGGGTGGTGGAGAATATGTGAGAATCCCACACAATGAAGCTATTACGAGCTTTACTCCATGAAACCACCAAGTCCGTCGAAGGATCTTCGACCATTTCGAAAATTTTGGTCAGGAACGGCGGCGGACCAACCTCATTAAGCCACTCCCGCGGCTACGGAATGGCACTCGAAGACGAAGATGATTAGGACCGTCTTGTATATTTTAGTGCCCTATACATAATAGTACAATAGTAAAATAGACTTTTTAAAATTAAAATATTATTTAATGTAAATCTTGAACTTAAAAAATCTTGAACTTAAAAAATCTTGAATCAAATATCTTAAATATACATACATATATATATATATATATATATATATATATATGCAAAAGATTTAAAAAAAATTGAAGATTCTTATAAATATTAGACCCTGTACGGTTGGTTAACCCGCACATACCTAGACCCTGATGATGACAACAATCCCGCAGCTCCAGGAGCAGCATACTTCAGTTGAGTTTCCTCTTCCTTTATTACCACCTCTCCTTTCATCAGCTCTTTCTAAAAAGAAAAACAATCTGCTACTGAGTTTTTACTCTGAGAGTTCTGTCTGAGATTGTTCATATTTGGCAGGAAAAAAAATGTACTAACAGAGCTCGTTGGCTTATTATGTTAATGAGAGTGATGTGTGTGTATATAAAAAGAGGTGGAAAAGAAAGTTCTAGAAAGTTCCTGGCATTTGGCAAAAAGGTTCTGAAAATTTCTGTATGGTTCCAGACAAGTGGAACCCACTTTATGATTTCACAAGATTTTTCATGTCTCCAGCTTTGGACACGCAAGCTGCTAGATTTTTCAGGGTTTTAGTTTGGACACATCAGGTCACTCAATGTTTAGTTTGGTTACCAATGAGTCACTTTTTTATAAAAATTATAATTTAGTCACTCAATTAAAATATTGTTACAAACAGTTCATTTTATCGTTAAAATTGAAATAAGTCTATTGTGGTTTGGTGTAATGACATTTTTAGTATCTAAAACTTATATATTATATCGATTTGGTCTTGATTCGAAATAATTCAATAAATCTAATCATTCATATTTAAACTTTCATCAATTGATCTTTTTTATACTGTCAAACTAAACGAGTTTGTCGAATCAAAGCAGCAGTTGGATAATTGCATTCTACTATAAATCATCAACTAGTTATTTTTAAATTGTTATTATACCAAGAAAGTAATAGAAAAATTATATAACAAATTTGGGAGAAGAACAACGTAAACTAAAATGGTAGAATTTTTAAATATAAACGATTAAATTTATTAAATTATTTTGAATTAAACTAATTTGATAGAATGTATAAGTTTTATAGACTAAAATTATTATTATACTAAACCATATCACTATTTCGTTTTATATTTAACGACTAATGATTTGTTTGTAATAATATCTTAATTGATTGATTAAATTATAATTTTTAGAAAAAAAGAACTCATTTATAACCAAACTAATAATTGACTGATCTTAAGTATATTTTAGCCAGAAATTTATGACCATTTTGCAAATTATTAATATCTTTGTATTATGTACGGAAGACTTTCACAAACTATGAATAATATACAAGCAATTTTAATTGTAATTTCCTAGACATGAACAAGGGACCACCTTGTTTACTTATTTCACAAGAAATCCTCAGATATAGTTTCGGTTTTCGTTGTCCTAGCACGATTCCGTGTTCTCCAAGCTTCCCCTGCAATTAATCTTGGCTTTATTCAAACTCCATGCATGCAAGCTTGAAATTGTTACACTCAGAGTTCCATTGTTGAATGCAAAAAGATGGCCTTCGTTGTTGATAGCCAGCTTTGGATAAACTCTTGCTGTGATACAAGTTCTTCCTTTTCCACCGAAACTCTCGATTATCGAGTGATCTATCTGCAAAAAAGATGGTACAAACACATCAACACACACACACAAAAAGGACCCTGCACCAGTAAATTGAGAACGGCGAACTCGATTCAACGCACCAAGGTTCTTAGTGGAACCATTTCCTGGTGCAAGTCGATGTCTACAAAAGCTCCGTATGTGGTTTTATCCAAATTGTTTCGCAACGATGACCTGTAAATAACATGTTTAAACATTGAATCAAATGAATGTGGATGACCTATTGCACAACTGTGGATAGTTCTGGAAAGCAGTAACCAATCTCTTCTGCTCACTGCACATAAGTACTACATATCTGTTATCGACTCGAAAAATCCTAAAGAAAATCGCAGATCATTCTTTCAAGTCCTTTGTTGCCAAAGCTAATAAACCAAATGGTCCGTATTTTCCAGTGACAAATGAATCTTTTCTGTCGCAGATTAGTTGGGGATCAACCAAACTGGTATCCATGAACTCTGCCTCTTCTAGTTCAGGCAATTCGAACATTGTTTCTATATCGACCTTTGAACAATGTAAGAAGGTTTTCATTATGATAATGCAATTACTTCAAATGCATATGATGGTGATTAGTGCACGACAATAGAGTTCTAACTCACCTTTGAAGCAGTGATGCCCGAAACTTCAAAAACCGATCCGCTTTTGAGATGCTTGCCATAAACATAGACTTGATTATCACGTAGATTGTTGAGTTCTTCCACTGGCCACTGTACTAATTGCTTTCCGGATCTATCTATCCAAATCTTCCTCGGAATTGCCTGCAAAGGAATTTCCGTAAACCATTAAGGATCAGTGTGATTCTAATACATCATGCAGCATCAGTGAATATGTAATGTCAATCACCTGAAGTCCAGACCATCCTTTATGTATATCATCTTCGGAACTATTGGATTCATTCACCCAAGCCCATAGTATCCTTCGGTTCTTCTTACTGTCAAAGAATGTCTTCGAGGCGTAGAATTTACCGTAATCAATTCTCAAGTCCGAACTGGTTCCCGTAAAGTCAGATCAGGAAGGAACTTTTCCTGCTCTGTATCGTAAGTCCCCACAAAGTAGTAATTATGGGAATTGAAACTTGCCTTCATAACATGCCTAACACTAGGATTTGTGACAGAGGTTTCAACCCCATTGGTGTTGTTAATCGACACAGGAAAGAAGTCCGGGCACTCCCACATATCGGTTTTCGATGTCGAATAAAGAGGTTTTGGATGCATAGTCCAGTTAACAAAATCTTTACTTTGGTATATTATGGCCATGCCCTGTTTATTGCTATAGCTCCCAATGACTACTTTCCAGGTTCCGTCGGGACCCTGCCAAGCAGTTGTTGGATCTCTAAAGTTATCTCCATTTACACCAATTGGTGGAGTCATTAGAGGGTTTCCAGAGTATTTGATCCATTCTATTAGCAACGGATCGGATCGATTTTATGGTGTTGCCAGGTTTTGAACGTGGTTATAGTTAGCATCAATGCCTGTGTATATAATGACCGGTTTATTCCCCGGAAGGATTGTTGCCGAACCCGAGATGCAACCCATGGCGTCAAATGGCTCGGATGGAACAAGTGCATTATCAAGACTGATCCAATTTATAAGATCATATTATGCAGAATGTGCCCACACCATACCATAGCCAAACAATGCACTGTGTGGATTGTATTGGTAGAATAAGTGATGAACTCCATTGTAGTACATTGGCCCTGCACCAGATGGAACAATAACTTACTAATCTTTTTTCACTGGTTTTGAAGATTTAACACCCAAACTTTTTATTTTTTTAAAGTAGTCATGACTAATACTTAGTGCGACACATGCTCGGACATGGGATGTCGCATGATCTTTCAAATATATGAAAAAACTTTAACGAAAAGTTCAACATATATCGATATTCGACACATATCATTGAGTCCATGTCACATAGGTGCTGTCTAAGAGATGATGCATACTATCGAACATCAAAGTTGTTTAATGATCTCGATTACATATTTGGACATGAATAAAACTTTAAAAATGCTTTTCTTACCATTAGGATCTGTGTAGTAAATGTCAGCCATTTCGTCCCATCATCGAAGCAGATCAGTTGAATCAATTGCCACCACCAAACAAACATAAAAACAAACACATGACAGTCAAAGAATTGAATGTTCCAAATATGTAAGCTGCAAGAACAAGATCAGTAAAGTTTGTCAGGAGACTGGAAGTGATGAGCTGTTCTGTAAGGCTGTTCTTCCGGTACTAAAGCCTTGAACGATTGAAACCTTGTATTGTCTGTCTCTGTTAGAAGATCACAGGCTTCCGCTTTAACCCCATCGATTAGCAGAAAACAAGAAATCCCGACAAACAAAAGCAGAGATTTATCCATGTTTTGCCACCCCAAAGGCTCAGATTCATACCTATGACTTCGTCCGAAAGATCAAAATTTATAGAAGGACAAAAGGCCAACCCAGGAATCTTCCGAGAACTGTTTTCATATGAAGAAAAACAATGTCTTCATGATCAAATGTGAAGAATTTACGCCATGATTAAAATAAGAAATAATTGTTGAATTTGCAATAAGAAGTGAAGAATTTGATAAGTGGATGAAACTGTGAGGTGGAAGCTTTACATCATCCACTTCATTATTGCTGCAGTCAGGTTGAATTGCGTGTGACAAATTTTCAACTACCTTAAATTCTGTCAATATCTGATTTTCTTAAATAAAATGCTATTTTGTAATTAGATTTAAATTAATCCATTTTATTATCAAATAATCATTTGGGTTGGTCTGAATTAGCTTGAATTGAAAGAAGGGTCCAAGTAATATCTTATTGGACCGGTTTACTTTGAACTTTGTTAAAAAAATTATCCAAAAATATATATACACAAACACGTAAGACCCAAATTAATATGCAACCTTCTTTTTGTTAAATATATATAATATTTATAATATTTTAAATTATTATTATATATTTTAATATATTCAAATCTACAACCTTTAAAATATTATAAAAAATTAATTAATTTAATTTTTAAATAATTTAAAAATAACGTTGAAAAGCAATAACTAACAATTTCGAATTGTACAATTGAAGAATCCTATACCCGTATTTTACATTTCAAATTTGTAAATAAAAATTTAAGATTAAAACAATGTTTATATTAAAATATAATTTAAAATAATTATTAAAATTTTATTTATAAATTAGGAAAATATATAAAAAAATTAAGACCTTTATTTCGATTTTTAAGTTCACACGAAGTCACATGATAAATGTACATTTAAATTTTTAATCTGAACAGTGAATGATTTAATATATTTTGAAATAGGAGAGTGTATCTCCAAATATATATTTCAATTTTTTTAAAATAGTTTCCTTTATATGAAGCATTACTCAACAATGCTAATGAAATTTTAACACAGTGGTTTTATCTAAGGGATTTAAATGGTAATTCGAGAAAATTTCAAAGGGCCAAAACAGCAAAAAAAAAAATGAAAGGGTAAATCCGACAATTCGCAAAGAAGATCTCCTCCTCTTGACCGACTGCCATTTCAAGACGCACATCAATGATCAAACCAAAAACCAAAGGCAGTTTTTTTTCACGCACTCTGTTATCTTGAAAGCATTTTATCCAAAATTAATCTAACGATTCACGCACTCGCCAGATTTTTCATCTTCCAACACTCGTTTTTCGTCTCATTCCCCCCCCCCACCATCCTTAATTTTCTCGCTAACCAAACAAACCCACGCAAGGGATAGATATAGAACATAGAAGGATAGGAAGATCAGACTATTTGTTTTGGTTTCTGTAAAAGGCGATGGCTTGGAGAGTCATAATCTCTCAGGTTATCTTCCCTCTCTTTTGAGCTTCGTTTTGCCGAGCTCTTCATATCTTCTTGTTCTGCCGTGATTGTTATTTATGTATTGGATTTGTATGATATGAGGTTTTAAAAATTGGAGATTGAGGGAACCCTACTTCTAAATATAAGATAGGTGTTGCCTTTGACACTTCAATCCGAGCTAAAGATTAGTTGAGTAGGATATTAAAGAGTAATGAAATTGAAATATATAATCTTCGATTTTAATTTCCGTTGGACGTATTACTAATTTTGCTTGAGCTGATTGGGACTTTTATTGGGTCAAAAAATGGGTTTTCCCTTTCTAAGGTGTTTCATTTTTCATTTAGTCAATTTGCATATTTGCAAATGCCGTATTCCATGAGATATTGTTTAAAGCGGTGAAGTTTTGAGGTGATTAGGTTGGTACGAAGCTTAGTTAATTTCTTTTGTGGATTATTTTTGCTTACTTTCGAGTAATTTGTATGTTAGACATATATTTTAATGTTTATTCCTTAAAATAAACGATAAGCCTCATTTTCATCTCAAAGCAGGTATCTAGACAGCAATCAGAACTGGGACAAGTTAGAAACTTGTTTAGCCAAGTTCATCTCTCTGGTATTTTTATTTGTTGAAGCTTTTTATATTATTTCATTATCTTCATAGCTTTTTTTCTTTTTGTCCATAAAATACTTGGATTTGCCTGTTCTCAACATAAAAACTTTGTTGCCTAAGCTGAAATATTGTTGGAGTGCAGGTAATAGGCTTTTGAGTGGCCAACAGAGGTTTAGGTCAAGCTATGCTGTCAATTTAGCTCGCAGAATCCGAGCTGCTGATGAAGCTAGCGAAGCTGCTAGTTTTAGGGAGCTATACCATAGAAATGATCCTGAGGCAGTGATAAGACTATTCGAAAGTCAGCCATCATTACATTCTAATCCATCTGCTCTTTCGGAATATGTTAAAGCATTAGTTAAAGTTGACAGGCTTGATGAAAGTGAGTTACTTAAGACATTACAAAAAAGGTAAGTGGGCTTGCTATCTTGCATCTTTAATTTCTTCTAAAATGTTAGTTTTGCAGTATTCTTTTTCCCACTTTGCTGGAGAAGTCATTGAACCTAGTTTCTAATTTGATGATGCTATTGAATTCTCTGTTAAACTATTATTAGGCCATTTATTTCTGATTAATTTCCACTCTTTGCCTTTGTGTATCTTTGTTAACTAGAGATTATTCAAATTACAGGTATCTCCAATTCAGCAGTTGAGGAAGAGAGTAAAAGTGGCCTTTCAGTTTTTCAAAATGAGGGGAAACCGACAAAACATGGTGTCCTAGGAACTGCTAGTGCTCCTATCCACATGGTGACTGCAGAAGGGGGGAATTTTAGAGATCAATTGTGGCGTACTGTTCGTAGTATTGCACTTGGCTTCTTGTTGATTTCTGGTGTTGGAGCCCTTATTGAGGATAGAGGGATTAGTAAAGGTAGAATGTTTAGATGACAAAATTTCCTCTAAATTGTCTGTGCATATTTGAACTGATAGTACTTTTTCTGGATTCTGACTGTTTGATAATCTTGTTTTAGGACTTGGTCTACACGAAGATGTGCTTGTGGAATCTAACACAAAATTTAATGATGTCAAAGGTGTTGACGAAGCAAAGGCAGAGTTAGAAGAAATTGTCCACTACCTTCGAGATCCTAAGTTGAATACACTTTTTGATTTAGTAAATATATCCCTCCCTCCCTCCCATTCTTTCTTTCTCTCTCTATTTACCTTTTCCCTTGTTGCAGCGCTTCACTCGTCTTGGTGGTAAGCTTCCAAAGGGAGTCTTGCTTGTTGGTCCACCTGGCAATGGGAAAACAATGTTAGCAAGAGCTATTGCTGGAGAGGCTGGGGTACCTTTCTTCTCCTGCAGTGGCAGTGAGTTTGAAGAGATGTTTGTTGGAGTTGGAGCTCGGAGAGTGAGAGATCTTTTTGCTGCTGCAAAGAAGTGATCACCATGTATTATATTTATTGATGAGATAGATGCCATAGGTGGAAGCCGTAATCCAAAGGACCAACAGTACATGAGAATGACTTTGAATCAGTTGCTTGTTGAATTGGATGGATTTAAACAGAATGAAGGAATTATTCTAATTGCAGCAACTAATTTTCCAGAATCATTGGATAAGGCGTTGGTCAGACCTGGAAGATTTGACCGCCGCATTATTATTCCTTTTCCAGATGTTGAAGGTCGGAGACAGATTCTGGAATCTCACATGTCAAAGGTACTGTGTTTCCTGTCCAGATGATGCTGCTCGGTAGGCCCTATTGGAGCATGTATCATAAAATTTGGCTTGATTTTAGCTTTTAAAAAATTAGCTGACCCTATTCCCATATGTAATGGGGGTAAGGGGAGGTAGGATAGTAGGCTGCCCCCAACGTCAGGTTGAGAGCAGCTTCCGTGGGAGACCTCCGGCAGTCAGAATTATGAATTGCCCACCGTGGGACTCGATCCCATGACTCTCCATATTAGACTTGTGTTCTTTCACTGTAATCATTGGTACTTGTGTTCTTTCACTGTAAT